TGCGCGCCAGCGTGGCGCGCGCGCGCGCCTCCGCATCGTTCGCTGCGGCCGCGTTCGCTTCGGGTGCGTTCGCTTCGGGCGCGTTCGCCTTCGCCAGCTGCGCCAGGAACGGTTGCATGTGCCCGCAGCTGCTCTGCGCGCCCAGCGCCGCGAGCAACTCCGCCGCGCGTGAGCTGCGCGTGAGCATCGCGCTCTGCACCAGCAACGCCGCAAGCTCTGCGCTCTGCTGACAGTCCGGCGCCACCTTCCGCCACGCAGCGCGCAGTTGCTCCGCGGCCGGCTCGGCTGCAAACGCCGTGAGCGCCAGCAGCGCGAACGCCCGCACTGCCGCAGACGCGCGCGCGAATTGCGCCAGCGCGCGCTGCAGCTCCTGCTCACCGAACTCGCCCGCGCTTAGCTCGAACGTAAGCGCCAGCACTGCGGGCTCGAGCTGCGCGTGCCGCCGCGCCACTGCCATGAAGCCGCGCGCGCGCTCTCCGCGCGGCAGCACCAACAACAATGTGAGTGCCGCCGCCGCGAGCGCGTCGCCGCCCCCGCCGAATCCGAGCGTCTGCTCACAACACGCCGCGCACACTTCGCGGTCTGCCGCGCGCTGCGTAGCTTCCGCCTCTGCGAAGAGCGTTTGCATCAGCAGCACAGCTAGCTGCGCGTCTGTTGCGTTTCTCAGACAGAACGGCACCGTCCAACGCCGCGCCGCCAGCGCGCGCCGATGCAGCACGCAGACTAACGCCGCCACGCGGAACGCCTCTTCTACCTGCGTGCAGACCAGCAGTTGCGCGAGGCGTTCGAGCTCCGTCGCCGCCAGCGGCGCCTCGCGCGCCAGCAGAAATTCGGCCGCGTTCAGTGCGACCGTGTCGCAACTGTGCTCCAGCAGCTGTCGCGCCAGCGGCTCGAACTCCGCGGCCGCCGCGAGCTGCTGCGCGCTGCAGAGAAACTGCGACAGGTCAAGCAAAAAGCGCGCCGGCAACAGACGCACCAGCGCCGCGAACGTCGCGCTGCTCGCAAAGCGCCACGCTGGCGCCAACGCGTCAAGCGTTGCCGCGCACCCCGCTGCCGCGCAGCCTAGGTAGCTGCACGCAGCGACGCCGCGGACTAGTGGGTCCGCCGCTGAAAGGTGCCGTGCGCTCTGCGCGCAGCTCTGCGCCTCCAAGAACTCGCGCAACGGATGCGCGTAAAAGACCGGCCGCTCCGTCTGCCGCGGGTGCAGCTGCGCCAGATACGCGAACCGCGCGTCGCGGTGCGCTGCGTCGCGCTCTGCACTGTTCGCCGCTAGCAACGCCAGTTCGCTGCTCTCTGCCAGCTGGTCCAACGCGCCCAGCGCGAACGCTTTCACGCGGAAGCTCTTCGTGAACGCGAAAGCTGCGATCAGCGTCGAGATCTCTTCACTAGTCAGTTGCGCGACGCTCCGCTCCGCGAGCAACGCCTCGCAGAACGCTTCGCACTCCAGATCCGTCTTGCACGCCTTGGCCATCGCAGCTTTTGCTGCAAGCAACTATTAGCGAAAATTACAAAAGGCTGCGCAAATTGGGTTTAAATTTGCGTAGCTCCGCTGGTCGCTCGAGTTGCTGCAGCGCCGCAACCAGCAGCTCGCGCGCCTCGCGCGCCTGCTGCCGCACTAGAGTCGCCGCCCTACGTTCGGGACGCGGTGCGGTGTCCGTAGCAGTGCCCGCGTCGTTTCGCGCGTCGGTTCGCGCAACGGCCGTCAGCTGCACGCGCAGCTCGACCGGCAACACGGCGTGGACAGGGAACTCGAGCGCCGAGAGCAGCTGCAGCGCTTCGGCGCACTCCGCAAGCTGCCGCGCTGCCGCAAGCGAACTGCTTTCCGCGCCGCCTGCGAGCGCGGCTTCCGGAAGCGGCAGCGGCAGCGTGCAGCGCGCGACACCGCGCAGCAGCGGCACTCGTCTCGAGAGCGTTGCGTAACACAGCTGCGTCGCGGCGAAGCGAATCAGCGCGCTGCGGAATCGCGGCTCTGCTCGCGCCGCCGCGTCGAAGCCGTCGTGGAACTTCTGCAGCTCTTCGCGCGCCAGCTGCAAATCGCGGAGTGCGCCAGTAAACGCGCTGTGCAGCGCAGTGTCTGAAGCGCTTTTCGGATCTGTAACGCTCGGCAGCTGCGCCGCGACGAGCTTCGCGATGGCCAGGTACTTTTCGAATATCAGCGGCTCCCACTCGGCCACCGCTGCAAAGCGTAGCTCACGCACGTCCGCCGGCTCGCTTCGCAGCGGGCCGGACATGCGCTCGAGCGTCGAGTGCAGCGTTAGGCTTGCGCCGCTCGCCAAGTCGCCGGGCAGAAGCTCGAGCGCCTGCTGCTGCAGCAAGCGCGTCAACGTCTGCGGCGGCCGAGCGACGCGCGCCGCCGGCAGCGGAGTGCGCTGCAGCTTTGGCAACAGCGACCAGTCGCAGCTGAAAGTCGCCGGTTGCGGCGCGGCGATCGAATCGCGCAGCGGCGCGCAGCGCTCGCACCGCAGCGCAAAGTCGAGCTCAAGCGCGACGTGCAGCGGCGCGTCTTGCGCGAACACGACTAGCAGCAGAATGCTCTGCGTGACCAAGCCGAGCTGCTGCGGTGCGGCAGCGGCGCGCGGAAACAGGCACTCAAACGGCACGGCGAGTTTCGGCTTGCCGACCGCGGTCTCCAGCCGTGCGCTCAGTTCCGCGCTGCGGGGTAGCAGCGAGTGCGCCAGGACGACGAGTGCGTGCTCCAGCCACAATAGCGTGAATTGCGAGTCGTTCGCATCGTGCGGAAACGCGAGCGGCAACTCGACGCGGAAACTGGCCTGCTCGCCGGCCAGTAGACATCGCGCGGTTGCTAGCAGCAGCGCGGCGCCGCTGCGGACAAATTGCGGTTCAGCGGGCAGCGCGCGCAACAGCGCCGTTGAGTCCGTGTCGGCGCGCAAAGCCGCGGCCAGCGCTAACACGCTGAGTTGAAACACACAGCGGCTCGTGCAATCGCTTTCGTCGACACTTGCTTCGACATCCACACTGGCGGCTGCGTCTGCATCCAGGTCTGCGCCCGCGTTGGCGGCTACGTAGGAGGCCGAGTCGGCGCCGGATTCCGTCCTTGCGTTATTCGTATGAGAGGTGACGGCACCCGCACGCAGTAGACTTGCTATAACGTCGGCGTTCAGAGCCGAGGCGCGAGCGAAGAATAGAGTGAGTTGCAGGGCGTGCGGCGCCGGGGCGAGCTGGCGCACAACCGTTGCAGGCTCGAAGTCGCGCGCCAAGCTCTGCGCGTGCGCTGCGAGCTCTTCGCGATGTGCGGCGATTAACGCGTCGTCTACCTGCGCTTTGGCGCTGACGAACTGCAGTGCACAGAAGACGCGGTCGACGACGAAAGCCACTTCGGAAGAGCCGCACGCCGTTGAAGCGAGTTGCGAGAGCGCCGCGACGAAGTCTGCCAGTGGCGCAGCGCACAGTGAGTGCATCGCGAGTGGACTGATAACGTCGAGCCGCGGTGCGTGACGCAGCGCAAAGCGCGCTGCTGCTTCGCTCAAGTCGGAGCGCCGCCCAGCTGCGCAAAGCGCCAGCAGCAGCGCGACCGCCCAAGCTAACGCGCGAGGCGCGCGCTGCAGCAACTGCTCTGTGTAGCACTTCGTCAATCGATCGAGCGCCGCGCCGTCGAGCGGTGCTGCTGCCGCAAACGCCCGCCACCGA